CCGGGCAGTGTTTCCTTCTGTTGTACGTAGGGTCGCTATGAGTCGGAACCGACTTGATGGCACCTAACAACAACAGCCATAGTCTTTGTAACTCCCACTAAATGACTGGGTGGGACTATGCAAATGAGGTGCTTGTGGCCCACCAAGGGGATTGGATAGCTTGTTAATAATGTAAATGAGGTGCATGGCACCCTTGTGGAGGTGGAAGCATGCAAATAAGGTGTACCGAACCCTAACGAGGGAATTGGTCAGTTTTGTCATCCCGCTAGGCTTAAAATGAGCCATCCCAGAGGTGAGAAGGGAGGATCAAACCACCACCAAAAGGGAAGAGCCAGGAGTGGAGCGCATCCTTTGGACCTGGGATCCCTGCACTGAGAACCTCCTAGATCCAGGAGACAGAGAGAGAGAGCTATAACACCAGAGACAGCAAGAACCAGCAGCAGAGCAACAACAGCAGAGGCAACAGAACCAGGAGACTGGCAGGAGATGGCACAGTGGGCTTCCTGGCCCACAGAGCGAGACAGCTGAGTGCGTTCAGGCCAAGGCTTGCTGATGGAGTAGGGTGCCTCCGCTCACTTATCAGCAGAGCTAAAAGAGCTTTGTAACACTTGCCCAAGCAGGACAGAGGCTGAGGGGCAAGAGAGACACATGCCTTCGGGCATGGCTGAGAAGAGACTGTCCTGATCGAAGAACGGTAACCTGAGTGCTCCTCAGCCTGAACTGTAACCTGGTGTTGGTGAAGAATACTGAATATTCCATGGACTTCCGGAAGAACGAACGAATCTATCTTGGAAGAAGTACAGCCAGAATGCTCCTTAGGAGGGAAGATGGTGAGACTTTGTCTCACTTACTTTGGACATGTTATCAGGAGGGACCAGACCCTGGAGAAGGAAGGACATCATGCATGATAAAGCAGAGGGTCAGCGAAAGAGAGGAAGACCCTCAATGTAATAGATTGACACAGTGGCTGCAACAATGGGCTCAAGCATAGTAATAATCGTGAGAATGGCGCAGGACTGGGCAGTGTGTCATTCTGCTGTACGTAGGGTCGCTATGAGTCGGAACTGACTCGACAGCACCTAACAACAACAACTTCCCCAGTAAACTCCATAATCCTGAGTATTGTCTGTGAGTTCTGTGTGGCCAGCAGAGGAGAGAGTGCTGTGGGAGGGACGACTGGTGTCAGAATTGGTAAAAAAGGCTGGAGGATGGAAGGTACGTCTGACCTCGGCCTCATAGCAATCAGCCTTGAGCTGTTGATGCTGATAATGATTCTCCTCACAGCTTGTGAAGTTAGAGGAGGCGGTCAGACGTCTTGGCCGTGCCATTTTTACAAGTCTATCAGATTAAGAAAGTTTCCCTGTATTCATAGATTGCTAAGAATTGTTTAAACTATGGATATTGTATCAAGTGGTTCTTCTGCATCTGTTGAAATAACGATATATTTTTTTCTCCTTTCATCTGTTAATGTGTTGAACGGCATTTATAGATTTGGCAATCCTAGGATAAACCAAATTTGGTCATGATATACCATCTTTTTTATACATTGCTGGATTTGGTTTGCTAATACTTTGTTTAAAATTTTGCATCCATGTTCACGAGTGAATTGGCCAGTAATGTTCCCTTCCTGAGCTGTCCATGCCTGGTTTTGGTATGAAGATAATTCTGGCCTCCTAGAACAAATTGGAGAGTATTTCTCTTTTTCTACTTTCTAGAAGAGTTTGTGTAGGATTGGAATTATCTGTTCCTTGAAAGGTTGGTAGAATTTGCCGGTTACACCATTTGATCCTGGTGATTTATTTATTGGAAGATTTATAACTGCTGATTCAATTTTCTTTAGTGGCTAATAGAACCGTTCAGGCTATTTCTTTTTGAGACTGATTTTTTAAGTTATGTTTTTCCAGCAATTTGTCCATTTCGTCTAAGTTTTCAAATTCACTGACATAAAGCTGACAATACTACTCACTTTGATTGTTTTAATTTGTAGTTCTCTCCTCCATTACGATTATTATTTGTGACATTTTTCCTTGATCAATCACAGCAGCATCTATTTCAAAGAACCAACTTTTGGCTGTGTTGCTCTTCTATATTGTGTCTTTGTTTTCTATTTCATGTCTTCTGCTCTTGTTTTTATTAACCCCTCCCTTGTATCTTCTTTGGGTTTAGGCTATAAATTTTCTAACTTTTTAAATTGGTTGCATAGCTCATTCATTTCCAGCCTTTCTTCTTTCCCAACATAAGCTTTTAAGGCTATACATTTCCCTCTAAATAATATGTTTACTGCATTCCGCTAGTTTGATATATACCGTTTTTATTCCCATTGAGGTCTAAATACTCTGTAATTTCAAGTGTAATTTCTCCCTTTTCCTACGAATTATTTAGAAGCGTGTTTGTATAGAAAAGAGATCACACAGGAGACCTGACTGCTATCCTTTGAAAGGCCGACTCACACGGTTGACCCTTGGCTGGCTTCTGGGTGTTGCTAGCCGCCATGGAGTCATAGCGACCCCACGCACAACAGAAGGAAATGCTGCCCGTCCTGTGCCATTCCCATGATCGGTTGCTCCTCAGACCATTGTGATCCGTAGGGTTTTCATTGGTTGATTTTCGGAAGTAGATCTCCAGGCCTTTCTTCCTAGTCCATCTTAGTCTGTAAGCTCCCCTGAAACCTGTTCAGCATCACAGCGACACGCAAGCCTGCACTGACAGACGGGCGGCGGCTGCACGTGAGGTACGTTGGCCGGGAATAGAATCCAGGTCTCCAGGCGGAAGGCCTCATAGATATCAGTTAGAGCCTCTCATTCTCTTCTCCATGATTCGTGAGGTCCCGCTCAGACGTTCTCTCTGTCTTGCTGTGCTGCATTCTTGGGAAGTTCTTCAGCTCTACCTTCAGCCTAATTCTCTCTTCAGCTATGTCCAATCTGCTGAATAACATATCCACTGAAGTATTTCTATTTTTGAAATTTCAACAATTATATATATTTTTTTCTCCTCAGATCTGCATGGGGAGGTGCCGGTGGGAGTGCAATTTATTACAGCCACTTTGGAGAGCAGTTTGGCATTATTTAGTAAAAGTGAAGATGCTCATCCTCTATGACCAGCAATTCCATTTCTGGAGATGCATATGTCTCAACACGTGCCTAGGGAGGCACGTGCAAAAATGTTCTTTGTAGCGTTGCTGGTAATTGCAAAATATTGGCAACAATTTAACTGTGGTATGTTCATATGACAGGAAGCTAGGCAGTAGTTACAATGAAGGTGGTGGGTTGAACTCTGGAATTGCTCCTATTCTGTTCCTCACCAGCAAAAACTGCAGTTTCATATGGCTTGCACTAGAGCTACGTTTAGCAACAGGGAGAAATTTCTGAACATACTTGTCATGGATGGAATTGTATCCCCCAAAAAACGTGTCAACTTGGTTAGGCCATGATTCCCAGTATTGTGTGGTTGTCCTCCATTTTGTGATTGTAATTTGATGTTAAAGAGGATTAGGGTGGGATTGTAACACCCTTACTACCGTCACATCCCTGGATCCACTGTAAAGGGAGTTTCCCTGGGGTGTGGCCTACACCACTTTTTATCTGTGAAGAGATAAAAGGAAAGGGAAGCAAGCAGAGAGAGGGGGACCTCGTATCTCCAAGAAAGCAGTGCTGGGAGCAGAGCGTGTCCTTTGGATCCAGGGTCCCTGCGTAGAGAAGCTCCTTAGCCCAGGGGAAGATTAATGAAAAGGGCAAGAGAGAGAAAGCCTTCCCCTGGAGCTGACGCCCTGAATTTGGACTTGTAGCCTACTTTACTGTGAAGATATAAATTTCTCTTTGTTAAAGCCATCCACTTGTGGTATTTCTGTTAGAGCAGCACAAGGTAACTAAGACAATACTTTTGGGAGAAAAAAAACATTGCATTGAAGCTTCTACATAGTACAGTATCATTTATGAAGTTTAAAAATCTGCAGAATATAAATAATATTTATGAAGGCAAGTCTGTAGTAAAAGTACAACATGAGAGAATGGAACACTACATCACAGGGTATGAAGTTAGTTCTTCATGAAACCTACGTTTTTTTCAAGTGGATATAAAATGTATACTTGAAAAAGGGATGTTACATTTTAGTTCATAAGTGCAAACCGGCCAACAGTCCGGTTCTACCTATGTTTAATTATATGTGTTTACCTTTTCCCAAAACGAATTTTTTCTCACGGCCATTTTAAAAAACTTCGTGAAATAATTAGACTCATACACAGTTGCAGTCCCGGTCATTTTAACCTCTTCTTTCATTGCTAGTTTCTTGTGGTTCCACTGTTTCTTTCTTTACACGTTTCTACCACGGTGCTTTCCAACAGTCTGATACTGTCAATGTCAAAAGTCCCCAAGGGTTTCAACCTGCTGCTGGGCCTGCTGACCCCCGCACCAGGGTCTGTTTCATTATGTGTGGTTGATCTCAGACTGGGGAGAAGCAGGAGCCTAACCTAAGGATGCTGTTCTCTGTAGGATCACTTTCACTACTGCCAGGAGCCAAAGAGCACCAGCACCTGGATCCACTTTTGCTCCCAGCTCCACACAGGGGTCCCACTTCCAGCCCGTGCTGCTCCAGCGGTTGGTTGGGTCCTTTAGAGCCTGCCCTCCCTCTGGTGAACCCAGGAACCCCTCCCGCATAGGATCAAACTGCTTCTCAGCATCCAGGGCCCTCCCAAGCGTGACCGACATACCTTGCTAGCAGAGCCTCGTTGTGCCTCATTTGCAAAGTGGAGACATTGATACCTACTTTTGCCAGGCTATTGTGGGCATTGCATAAACTCACTGAAGGCCTCAGTGACGGGGCCACAGTCAGAGCTCAAGGCCTGCTCACTGAGTGCTCTGTTTGGCCAGGGCCCTCAGTGTCCAGTGCTGCTGGCCAGCAGGGCATCCCCACCTCCACCCTAGAAGAGGCCAGAGGTAAAACAGCACAACACACTTTATTGTCCAAAACTACAGGAAAACCCGGGTCCCACAGGACTCGAGTACTGCGGGGGAGGCAGAAGGACAGAGGTGGAGGTGGCCGTCACTGCAGGTGCCATTCGGCTCTGTCTGAGGCTCCTGTGCGTGACGCTCAGGTGGAGAAAGGAAGACTTGTTTCACGGCCATCCCTGAGGAGGTGGTGAGCTGTTTCCAGATCAGTAAGGGCGGACGGGCAGGCAGGATCCAGGCCAAGGGGCCTCATGAGCTCCCTCCTGCAGGTCTGAGCTGGCCGCCTGCTACCTGCCCTCCCAATGCCAGCCCCTCAAAGAGAACACCTGAACCAAAGAAGGAAGCTGGCCAGTGCCTAGGCTACTTCCCCCCTTCTTGACAAAGCCGGTGGAGCAGCTGAGGCCTTCTAGAACTGAAGAACACCAGGGGCCGGAGAGCTCACCAACCGAGAGAGGCCCCATGAAGGCTTACGGACTGGCCTAAAGACCAACTGAGCTGAGGGCATCAGAGCCTGCCCAGCCCGGCTCTGCCTAGGGCGAGAACCCAGACGGCAGCACTCACAGCCCAAACTGGCTGGCTCTGGGGTCGGGGCACTGCCTCCTTCCCAGCCTGGGCCCCTCCCAGGCTGGGGTGCTGCTGGCTCCTTGTCCCCTATCTCAGGGGCTGCAAATGGTTGTGGAGCTGCTCGGCCTGGGTCTTCAGGCACTGGAACTCCTCCTGAATGAAGTCGGTCAGGGCTTTGCGCATCTCCACCTGGGTGGAGAAGACCGGGTGACCGAGCGGGCATGTGACGGCTGAACCCAAGCATCCCAGTTGCTCGCAGCCCCAGCCTGGGTCTGAGGACAGTTACAGGGAAGCCAGGAGCACACTCACGGCTGACTTGTTCTCTGCCCGGAGTCGCTCAAGCACAGGCAGGGCGCTGAAGGGCTTCCCGATGAGTACGGTGATCTTCTGTGGGGAAGGCAGGCTGCCGTCGGTGACACAGCAGGGGTGACTGGCCACACCCCAGCCGGCCCACTCAGGGAGCAGAAGCCTGAGTCCTGGTGCCCTCCTCTGGGCCATGCTCTCCCATCTTGAAAGCTCAGCAGTGTCCCATCCCAGTCTTGGGGGCCCATGGTCTAGCTGTCCTGTCCTGACCCAGCCTGACTTCCTATGCTGAGGGTCTAACAGTCCTCAGGGCCAGGGAATCCTTCTCTCTGGTCAACTCTGTTCCCTCTCGCTGTGGCTTCATGCTTGGCTTCTCCCTCAGCAGTGGGAGATCCAAGGAAAATGGCAGACAGACAGACAAAGAGGCCAGCGGCCCCACCCACCTGGCCGAAGCGGGGGAAGTAGGGCGGGTTGTTAGGAAGGACGTCGTTCATCCCTGCAGCACAGTGAAGAGAGTGGAAGGCAGCAGTGTGGAGCAGGGTGGCCGAAACTGGACCAAGCCCTGGGGCCTCCCAGGGCCCTCTCTGCCATGCAGCAGACACCTCCCAACACAATCTCAGGGAGCACCTCTCCCGGTCCCCAGCTGCACCCCACCGTCTCCAGGCCTGAGAGGGAGGCGTACCGACATGCCACAGTGGAAGAATGATGGGGTTGAGACGACACTCAGCAATCAGACGCCCGATTCCTGCCCGAGGATGGACAGGAGCATTGGTGGGGGACCTGCCCTCCACAGTTGGAACCAGCTTCCTGGAGCAGCCCCTCTGCAAGCCAGCTCTGGTCTCAGCACCTGGCCCCTTCCTGCCGCCACCAACCCAGCCAGCCCTGGAGGTGGGCGCGCGGGAAGGGGTCACAGGGTGATCCTTACCCCATTTGAAGCGCAGGAACTCGGAGCTCATGTTCACTTTCCCTGTCAGAAGAGAGCAGAGAAGAGGCTGGGGGCTGCAGCCTTTATACTCCTGGGAAGGTGGCCCTACGGCTCCTCCACTGACCTTCAGGAAAGATGTGCACCCAGTCCCCATGGTTGAGCTTCTCCAAGATGAAGTCCATCCCCTTCTGATAGACACCGTCTCCTGCCAGGAAAAGGCCTTTCCCGTCAGTGCCCGCTCTCCCCTGGGGGCCTGCTAGTCCATCCCCAATTCTCTCCAAACCCTGACGAGACAGGCCCTATTCCCTAGGGCGACCCCCGTGATTGCACCCCAGCCACCTCCATCTGTTCACCTGCCTGTCACACCCCGCCCTGCACTGGGAATGGAGCTCCAGCTCCCCCAGGCCCGGGCCCTGCCGAGATTGCGCTGTCCACGGCACACTCTCCAGTGACCTTCCCTGTGGCCACCTCAGCCCCTGAGCCCCTGACACCTTTGTTCAACAATACTCTCTAAACATCCATTACAGGCAGGCACCACCAAAATCCTGAACTTGGGAATTCTTCGGTTTTTTGTCAAATTTTCATTGGAACTTGTGGTGCAGTGACTTATTTAATGATTGGGTGGGAATCCGAAAATAAGGTGTAGGAAACCTGTGATGGTTAAGGGTACATGTTAACTTGGCGGGGCCATGATTTTCAGTGGTTCGGCAGTTTCGTAATGATGTAGTCATCCTCCATTCTGTGATCTGATGTAATTATCCTCCATTCTGTGATGCATTATAAACCATAGTCTCTATGCCTGTGGTTATGGTCCCATGTGGGAGTGAGTTGTCTGTTATGTTAACGAGGCTGGATTAGAGCGAGATGTATCTTGAACCACCACCTTACTAGAGGATGTGTCTCAAGTCACCACGCTTACCACCCTTATTCAAGTCACACCCTTACTTGAATCATACCTTTTATCTTACAAGAAATAAAAGGAGAGAGAAGTGAGCGAGGGGCGGACCCCCTACCATCAAGAAGAACTAGGAGTACAGCATGTCTTTTGGACCCAGGATCCCTGCACTGAGAACCTCCTAGACTCAGGAGACAGAGTTGTAACACGGGAGACGGCACAAGACGTGAGAAGCAGCAGTAAACATGGCAGAGAACCAACCGGCAGTAGCAGAACCAGGAGACCAGTGCGAGACATTGTAGTGGGCTTCCCCACCCATGGAGCAAGGCGGCTACAGTGGAAATGCCAACCCACGGAGCAAGAGAGCTGAACGCCTCTGGGCCAAGGAGTTGGAGTGGGGTGCCCCTGGGCACTTATTGGCAGAGCTAAAGAGCTTTGTAACACTTACCCTGGCAGGGCAGAGGCCAGGCCAAGTGGCCAAGGGCTGGAGAGAGATGCCTGCCTGTGGACACAGCTGAGAAGAGGCTGTCCTGATTGAAGAACTGTATCCTGAGTTGTTTCTCATCCTGAATTGTAACCTGCTACTTCCCTAATGGGCCCTGGTGGCATAGTGGTTAAGAGCCCAGCTGCTAATCAAAGGTCGGTAGTTCAAATCCACCAGCCACTCCTTGGAAACCCTACAGGGCAATTTTACTCTGTCCTAGAGGGTTGCTATGAGTCGGAATCAACTCGACAGCAACGGGTTTTATGGGAGGGAAAGAATAGTCCTTCCAGGGCAGCTCCAGAGGACTTCACACAATCTTTTAAAATGTTTCAGGAAAAATACACCTTTCTTAATGAGCAATTTTGCAGCTGTGTGTTTCCCTACGCGTGCGTGCCCGTATGTGTGTCTGCCCTCTGCTGGGGCACCCAGAGCTTTCGCCGTGGAGATGACGGAGCATGAAACTACCTAAGACTGCACAGACCTGGAAGCCACTGCAGAGGTGCAAAGGGATATTCAACTTGATTCTCACTCACCTGTGATCAATAAAGACAGGATGGGGGTGGATGTGCACGTGAGGGGTGTTGCGTGAAAGATGTGAGCCTCTGATAACCCTGGAGTATCCTACAAGAGAAGTAACACGGACTAGTGTTTGGATCGGTGTGAGTGTCTGTGTATGGCGCTGGAGGTTTGGCTCGATGAATGAACCATCTCGTCCCATAGGGCTTTTCAGTCTGTTGTCGGGAAATTGCCAGTGCTTGCGGGAGTCAGGCTACCAAGTTAGAGAAAGCGATTTCTGCATGCTTTGAGATTCCAGATGAAGACTAAGCACTTTCTCCTGGGACCCAGGCTGGGGAGGAGTAGACAGCACAGACAGGCCAGTCAGTTGTGGTCCTCTCAATTTTACAAAGGGAGTGAAAAAGATAAAGAAAGAAAGGGCTAACAGGCTGGCAAAACCTTTGCTGTGTACTCAATTTGCCTGAAAAATGCTTTAGCCAACATGCTCGCTCTTAGATATATTCAGACCCGTTAACATAACACACACTGGAGAAAATCTTCAGATTCAGTTCACTGTTGAACAGAATGTTTCCCCCAGCTATGCGACGGCTAACAGGACCTGTGTTTCTTACAGGAGTTGGGCAGCTAGAGCAGTTCAAATCCACCAGGTGCTCCTTGGAAACCCTATGCGGCAGTTCTATTCTGTCCCGTAGGGTCACTACAAGTCAGAACCGACGTGACCATCGCAATGGATTTCAAACCCAGCAGAGAAGTAGAGTGTTGTGGAGGGATGGCTGGTGTCAGAATTGCTAAAAAGCCTGATGAGAAGAGGGAAGCCCACCTCACAGCGATCGGCCTCAGGCTGTTGATACTGATGATGATTCTCCTCCCCACTTGTGAAGTCAGAAGAGGTGACACCGCTGCCACGCCATGTTTACATCCTCCGTTTCTCCTTCCATATCTGGCCCCGCTCTACCGCTGCAGCCTCACCCACTGAGCGGCCTCAGAGGTACTCTCGCAGCCACCCCACCCGTTACCACGGGGCCCACAGCCAGCCGCCATTCAGCTGTTCTCCCTCAGAGGCACCAAACCTCGCTATCATCAGTGCTGGGGCAATCCCATCATATGCCCCTCCTGGTCTGGAAGAGGCTGCTGGAGCAAACCCAGCGGACTCACGACGCCCTGCCCGAGTCTGGGCCCTAGGTCCCCGGCTGCATCTTTTCCCGCAGCCTTGGTCTGGGTCAGCTCCGGCAGCAGCTCCCCGCGAGGCCCCACCCACTGAGGCCCCGCCCGCCCTTCCCACTGGCTCCTCCTCAAGACAATAGCTGGGAAACCACTCCCTGACCCTCCCTCAGGGAGGACTCCTGGGAAATGGAGAACATTCGACCCAACAGACAGTATCCTTGAAAGCTTCGGAAAAACTCGAAATCGCAGACCGAAAACAGTGGCGTCGATCTGAACCTGATGGTAGCCACATTTGCCCTTGAGGGGCCCTGAGGCCGTGACGCTGAACCCGAGAGAGGGAAATGCAGAACTAGACCTCTGTGTCCCAGCAACACTTGCACAGCTGCGAACAGGGAAATGCTGTGTTGGCTTTCGACTGGAATCGCCTGGAGACGCCCACAGAACACTGCCCTGTTACCGTCCACAGTAATAACCTCACTAACCCGGACCACGTGAAAGTAACGGCACAGGTGACAGACACGACATTGTCTAAAGCTGTGTCCCTCGGGGGAGATGGCTCCCTAGGGGCACCAGCATCTTCCTGTCCCCTCTGTGCTCCGGAACCTTGCCTCTGCGTTCCCGGCCTCATTTGTGGTTCAGCCTCCAATATCCTTCTCTATTTCCAAGCATTTGTTTGAGTTTCAAAACTGCACACGTGCCCCCGGCTCCCCAGATGCAGCACAGCGACACGAAACTCACCGTCTCCCCTGCCCAGCGCCCCACACCCGCTCTCCCCTCGGTCTTCTCAATCGCAGCAAATGGCACCCACCGCCCTCCTCCCAGTGGCTCAGGCCAAAAACCCACTGCTACCTTTGATTTCTCTTTCTCTCGCCCCCCACCGCAATCCATCAATAAGTCCTTCGACTCTGCTTCCGAAGCACATCCCAAGGCTGTCCCCTTCTCCCGCTCCCCACGGGGACCACCCAAGACCCAGGCCCAATCATCTCTGCTGCCAGAATTTCCAAGACGGCCCTGCCCTGGCCAGCTGGCCTCCACCCCGTCCTGCTCCAAATAGCTGGCCCCGCTGTGGCCAGGGTGCTCGCTCCCTGAACCACAAACGTGGCACTACCCCGACAGGACAGCAAAGGCCCCAGTGCTTAACGTGATATTCCAGAACCTTCACCTACGTTTTCCAGCTTTACTCTTACCTCTTCAGCACCTGGCACATGCTTGTCCATATCTATAATGCCTTTCCTTTCATCCTCTGCCTAGAAAAAGTTCTGCTTCCCCAAAGGAAAGAAACACCTGGACTCAAATCCCAACTGCCAGCTCTTACCTGTGACCTTAGCCAGCGACTTCACCCCTTGGAACCCCATTTTCTTGTCTGTATGATGGGAGTCATAATGTCCGCTTCCTCCCAGAGTTCTCGAGAGGTACCAAGTTGTTCCTCAATCTCAGACCCCTCACCCCACAGCCTATGTATCTTCCTAGAAGCAAAACTGTCCGGCCGCCAGTACATGCCACTGCAGACCCAGCACAGCGCCACCGCACTGCCATCGTCCACCTCTCTGAGAGGGGGCTGCGTGTGCGCAATGAGAACCAAAGGCTCTCCAAGAAGCCACCTTCTCCGGCAAACCTCTGCCACCTCTGCTGCCACATGGTGGAGCTGGCCCCTAGCTCCCCTGGCTCCCTAGCTGCCTGTCCCTCGTGGGTCCTTCCGCCTTAGTGCTGCCAAGACAGAGGCACCGGCCATCAGCTTCCCTGCCCCAATGGAGGCCTTGGGAAGTGTCCCCAGAAGTGCCTCCCTTCCCCCCACTGGTACCCAGCACCCTCCCGGGGGAGTGGCTCACCTCGGCACACGGGCACGCACTTGCCCAAGCTGAAGAAATGGGAGTGCAGCTCCTTGGTGAAGCAGATGTCTGCAGCTGCGGGGGTCCTACAGTGGGCACAGCTGCAGTCATCCCTGCCCCCGCCGCCCCTGCCTCCCCTACCCCGCCCTCCTGTGATGCCTGGCATCATCGCATGCAGAAGGGAGGCACAGGAGGAGGGCCTGTGGGGCCCCACCCCATGCCCTGCCTGGACTGCTGGATGCCGCCTCCTGGGCAGAGCAGGAGGGAGGCATATCTGGGCAGACAGGTGGGGCCCATTCCTCCTCACCAACGCATCAACTTCAGGTTCCAGATGTGGCGAAGTTTCAGGATCCCTAGAGAAGAGGAGAAAAAGGCTCTGTGCCCCAAGTTACCCGGCCCTAGGGAGCCCCTTTTTCTGTCACACAGTTTCAGGGAATGAGGGATAGGGCAGCTGCACTACCATTTCCCTACAGCTCAAAGTGGCATCTTCCAGGTACTTGGATTGGACCCTGGAGTTCTCTCTGGCTCCTCCTTTGCCCCCAGCCCCCGTATATTATTAATCTCTGCTCTGGTTTTCCTGTCTCCCCAGTATGGCTTGACAATGCCCGTTCTTCTCACCCCTCCGTCCACCATCACTGCCACCACCCTGGACCAGGCTACACCACCTTCCTGGTCTCCCAGGACCCACCCAGTGAGCTTGGAAAGGCTCTATCTGACCCGGCCACCTCCGTCAGCTCTGCGTAGTCTTCCCTCCTGTTTAGCAGTGGAGGCCCTGGCCACCTCGTCTCCTGCCCGGCAACTCCCTACGCAGTCAGCAGAGCCGGAACTTCTAGGTGGGGCAGCCGGGCTCCCCAGAGGGGCTTGCTGAAGGGTGGCAAACCTGGGGCACACGTCTTCCAGCCCCTAGCCCAGAGCGGCCTCGACAGGACACCTGGTGGTCCCCGGGTGTGTTCCCACGACTTCGTGGGACCATCACCAGTTCAAAGAACAAAGGGTCCACAGGCCTGACGTGGTCAGAGCAAAGAACGACAGACCTCGCTGTGGCCACTGCCACACTTACTCGTTCCCTGCAATTCAGGTTTCCAGAGGCTCCTGAAGGGCCACAAACCCACGCTCACCCCTGCAGAAGGACACCCCAAAAGCAGCAGTGACAGGGCTCTGCTCCCGTTCGCCCAGCCCCCCCGGCCCAGGTACCCCAGAGATGAGGGTCGTCCATGCAGGACTGGTGGTTGGAGACGGTGATGAGCGGGGTGGTGGGGCCCCGGTTTTCGATGAGGTCGTACAGCACCTCCTTGTTGTGGACGGTAAGGTGGTTCATGTACTCTGGGGGAGAGGGTTGCGGGTGGGCCCAGGGCTCGCCCCACGGGCACGCCCGCCCCAGCCCCCAACTCTGGCCGAGGGCGGCCCCTTGGCGGCGGGCCCACTCACTGGTCCAGAAGCAGCTGTAGGTGCCCACCAGGCCCATGACGACGCTGCTGGCCAGGGTCCAGGACAGCGGCGGCGCCGAGGGGAACGGCCACTTCACGTGTAGGGGCATCGCCCCTCCCCGCCACGCGAGGCGTCAGGGCCGCTTGTACCGGGTCAGCGCCTCAGCCTCACGCCCCGGGAGCACGCTCCTCACCGGCCGCGTCCGCAGAGAGACTCGGCCAAGGTCACTTCGCAAGGCAGGGCCGAAGCCGGCCCCCACCCACACTCTCTGGCCACAGACGAGCCGTGACCGGCGTCCGGCCAGCACCGCGGCAAGCACCGGGAAAGAGACGACGGCCCGCGGTCGGGAGCCGCCCGCCCGCGCCCCGGCCGGAAACCAACGGGCCGAGGC